TAGTTCTAGGCATTCCAGTATCCAGCTGTGGGGCATTGAGTCATAGGCCTTCCTCTAATCAGTCCAGGCAGTGCACAGGTTGGTCAGCCTGGTCTTGCAGACTTGGCTGACTGCTCGGTCTACCAGCAGCTGATGTTTCGCTCCTCTGGTAATTCCTTTGTCATGAGGAGTGTGCATTGAGCCACATGCCTGTTCATCTTAGTCGCTATGATGCCTGACAGGAGCTTCCATGTGGTGCTGAGACACACAGTGTGGTGTCAAACTAGTATAACTGTAGTGTATTTTTGTGAGCTAGTTACAGTAAAAGGCAGCGTAGTCACTTTGTATTCACACATGATTAATATCTACATGAACAACATGATGACCCTGCACTTACTCCAGAGCTCGGGTCGTTAAAGGCCAACAAAACAAAGTAACTGGAGCTGAAGTCTTCTGGGGAAATGTGAACTTCTTTGTGGCAATATTTAAATTTCAGACTGTGCTTGCAAGTGAATTTTTAATCTTTTGTTAAAATGTTGCATACCCTCTCTGAAAGCCACAGTCACAGTTTGAGGTGAAAAGTCTTTTCCCGTGCAGGATCGTCCCAAAAGTGCAGTGGATCAAATAGGATTTGGGGAGAGAGAGGTGGGCAGAACAAGGATGAGTGTAGAGGAGCAACTGGATCGACTAAGAAGAAATCAGGAGGCCTTGTTGCTCCGTGAGAAAAAGAAAGAAACCCCAACCCGCTCACCATCCTTCAGCAAAGACAATCCATTTCTTATTCTGCAGGTGTGTCTCTCACACACACGCTTCAGTTCAGATGTGACCTCTGCGGTTTGAAATCTGTCACTTAACTCAGGGGTTCATGTTCCCCCTTGTGCAGAGTCGTATCCCAGCAGGAGCCGGTGCAGACCCTTTGGAGCTGGAGGCTGCACTGCAGCAGCTGAAGGTGGAGCACAAGGAGCAGAGCAGAGCTTCTGTTGACGCTGCAGGAAACTGCACAGAAAGAACGCTGACTGTTGCAAAGGTTTGAATTTATTCACATTATTTTTGCAATGTACTCACAATTACAGGTGCAAAGGATCGAGGGAATGACAATAGATGAGTTCAGATACCTGTGGACAACCAACCAAAGCAATGCACAAGATAAAGGCTGGGACGGTGGAGTAAGTAGACCAGTGTATCAGGGGGGATTTGTGCCAGAAGGAAAACAGTGAAAGGGAAGATGACAAGACGAGCGAAGGTGGAGCAAGAGGTCGGAGTGTTAGGAAACGAATACGTCGACTCAGGCTGTGCAGTTTGGAGACGAGGTTGGAGAGGCAAAGATATTTAAGGTGGAGCTGCCAGGCAGAATGAAAAGAGGAGGACCACAGAGAAAATTCATGGATGTAGTAAACAAGGGAATGCAGAGGGCTGATATAAACAGAAGAGGATGCAAAGATTAGAGTGAGGGAGGCAGATGTGACCACACGGAGAAGTCACAGCCAAAGTCAGTAACTCTGCACCACTACTGGGCTGGAGTGAGACTACTATTGATAACATTTTCATCCAAGACTTAGAAGCTTCACGCAAAAACAGCGACATATGACCTTCATGAGATGCAAATGTAGGCTGCATATTCAGTTTTCTACGTCTTTCTAAGTCTTGTTCTTTGTGGTCTTGTTTCCATTGTGAAAGAGACTGAGTGTTTTTATACACAACACTTGCTGCACTCTGTACACACAGCACCAGAATCATTTTTATTTCTATCTGCAGGAGATGCCCACAGCAGAGGAGGTGAAAAATGGCAAATGTGAGGAAGTAAAGCAAGACGGGAACACGGGCCTGAAGAGTGTGGAAGAGCCACAGGTTACGATGGGCAGATTAGATCATGAGGTACTGTTTTATTTCCCCGGACAGCTGTGTGTAGCAGATAGCAGTGTAAAGATAGTCAATACTGTTTATTAGTATGACCAAACTTGTTTAGTGGTGATAGGAAGGATGTCAAATACTTAAGATCGAGAACTAGAAGGAAACGGCTTTAACTGGGAAACGTGGAAAGTGGGATTTCCATAGAAGCAGGTGGCTGTGATCACACAGCAGCAGAACTGGTGATTCTCCCAAAGGGACTCAGGAAGAGACGAGCCAGTTTCTTAGACGAGCTGCACCAGGAGCAACTGAGTAGACGATCTTAGTGCTCGAGCAGGAATGTACGAACTAAGGAGCTCGATCAGGTAGCTCGGGGCTGTGTTGTTGATCATTTTAAAAGTAAGCAGCAGTATTTTAAATTGGATGTGGAATTTAATGGGTAGCCAGTGCAGGTCAGCTAGAACAGGGGTAATAGAGGCAAACCTCCCAGTTCCCGTCATTTTGAACAGTTTGCAGTCTATGAAGAAGGGCCGAGTGAAGACTGAAATAAAGGGAGTTGCAGTAATCCAGCCTACAGGTCACAAAGGCGTGAACAAGCTTTTCCAGGTCCTTATGCGGAACAAAATGCTTAGTCTTAGAAATGAGACGCAGTTGGTAGAAACTAGATCTAACTACAGCGGACACTTTGCAGCAACACACCCAAACTGCTAACAGTGTCAGAGAGGGAGCTGGCAAGGGAACCAAAGGCATCACAAAACTGTCCACGAGGAATATTACTATCAAACACAATGATTTTAGTTTTCTTATCATTTAAGATGAGAGAGTTTCCTAAGAGCCACTCTTTGAAAGCAGTGCAGAGACCGGGCAGGATCAGTAGATCTGTATATCGTCAGCGTAACAGTGATAAGCGATATTGTATTTCTCAAAGATTAGAGAGTAGAATAGGGCCCAGCACAGATCCTTGAGGCACGCCACAGCAGACGGGTGCAGCGGAGGAAGAGCAGGTGCCCAGGTTGACCGAGAAGGACCTGTTGGAGAGGTATGATTTAAACCAACCACGGGCGACACCTCTAATGCCTACAGTATGCTCAAGCCTCTCTAACAAGATGCTGTGATCCACCATGTCAAAAGCCGAGGATAAATGCAATAGAGCTCGGACCGCAGCACGTCCAGTATCAGCAATTAGAAGAAGAACATTAAGGACTCTAAGCTGTGTCAGTGCTGTGACGTGGTTTAAAGGCAGACTGGAATTTATCAATAATGTCGTTCACATCCAAATACGCCTGGACTTGTGAAAGAACTATCCTCTCGACAACTTTAGAGATCGGCCTGTGATTCACATAATCATTACTATCAAGGTTTCTGTTTTTAAGAACAGGCTGGACTACGGCATGTTTCAAAGCTGATGGGACGCAGCCAGAGACTGAAGAAGGATTCATTAAACATAAAATACTGGGTCCAATTACGTCGAAGCAGTCCTTGACTATGTGAGACGGGAGGATATCATATATAGGAGTAGTGTTATTCAGTTGTTCAGCTAATCGCTTCAGAGTAAGGAGTGACACGGGCTCAAACTGATGGAAGGTTGATGAACAACCAGAAGCAGAAACAGGGCTCGGCACTAAAGGAAGCGAGGAAGAGAAGAAACTTTATCTAAGAAGTGATTTAAAAGTTGTTCACAAAGATCCGGCGAGCACGGCAGCGGCATATCAGGACGGGGATTGACCACCGAATTAAAATTTTAAATAGCGTTCGGGGGTTGTGACCATGAGCCAGGAACATTTTTGATAAGAAAGCCGCTTTCGCCATTTTAGCAGCAGTTTGAAATTTCGAGCGGCTGACACGTAGGATTTCACAGGATACCTGGAGTTTATCTTTTCTCCACCACCTCTCATCATGGCGGCAAACAAGTCGTAAGGCGCGCGTGAAGGCGTTTAACCAGTGTTGGGAAAAGGCTGTAGGGCGCTTCATTTTAACAGGTGCAACAGTGTCAAGGATAGAGGAGCATATGGATAACAAGGTGTTTGCAAAGTCTTCAACCATATGAGAGGCAGAACAATCAAAAGTAGTGGACGCAGAGAAATTTGCCACAGTTTCAGCATCAACTACACGTAAAGCAGGAACTCAGGGTGCAGTGCAGTATTATCTAAGTCAACATGACTGTGGAGTGGTCAGAGATCCCCACATTGTTTACATCCTTGATGCAAATGTCCAAGCCTTGGGAAAAGACCGAGTCAAGGGTGTGGCCCTTAGCGTGGGTAGGTTCATTTACCCACTGAACGAGGTTAAAAGAGTCAGTTAATGCAAGAAAGTCTTCAGCTGACGGGTCGTCCTTACAGCAGACGTGTATATTAAGATCCAGTAATAAGAACACAGCCATGTTTAAAAAGAACAGATCCTACAAGGTCGGCAAATTCAGAGATAAAAGTCTTATTGTATTTAGACGGGCGATAGACCGCGACACACAGAGTAGCCTAACAGTCAGTCATCTCCAGCAGCTGAGCCTCAAAGCTGGGGTAGGGAGGGGAGGGGAGCTGCTGAAGGTTATTTTTAAAAACCGAAGCTAAGCCACCACCTCGGCCAGTAAGTCTAAAAAAGGCACAGTCTGGGGGGAGAAGCTCGGAGAAGGGGATGGACTCACCGGGGCGAATCCAGGTCTCCGTTAGGAATAGAAGGCCCAGTCCAGTAGCGAGGAAAAAGTCATTTAAAAGAAAGGTCTTGTTCGCCAGTCACCTGACATTTAGTAAAGCCATACGAGTCCAGGCAGCTAGGTCACCACCACTGAATCTGTGTTTTAGCTGTGTGAGAGTCAAAAGGTGGTGATCCTGGACTTGGGCACGGAGCCTCAGCGGGTGGAGATTGTGAACCTTGAGCCCTTCGAGGACGACGAAAGCCGAGAGCAAGATCTGACCAGCTCACCTACAAATGCCACCACTGAAAACAGGTGTCTGTGTGTGTCTGTGTGTGTCTGTGTGTGTGTGTGTGTGTGTCTGTGTGTGTCTGTGTGTGTCTGTGTGTGTGTGTGTGTGTGTGTGTGTGTGTGTGTCTGTGTGTGTCTGTGTGTCTGTGTGTGTGTGTGTGTGTCGGTGTCTGTGTGGGTGTCTGTGTGTGGTGTCTGTGTGTGTCTGTGTGTGTCTGTGTGTGTCTGTGGGTGTACCTATCTTTGCACTGACACAACAGCTTAGAGCTACATTGGAAACACAGCTCACTGGAGCACCAACTCGATAGAATTTGTTCTCTGCTGTCATTACAGAGAAAAGCAAAACAATATGCTGTAAAAATACTGAGCTACAGTCTGATGTCCATCATTGAAACTAATCAGTCGTTATGACCTGTTCTGCTTCTGCCAACTGTAGCTTCCAGATTGTTGAGCCTGAGACTCCAAGCCCTGAGCCCGAGGTCGAAGAGATGACACAACCGTCGAGGGGAGATAAGAACCTCGGGAAGAGCCTGGATTCATACAACCAGCTGACAGCAGACAACAAAAAACACAACAACAGTATTTTGGCATGTAAGTCAAAAGTCTTTCAAATAAGACCTCTTTGTACCCAAATCAAAGGCATATTAACTCATCACACGTGAAAACATTTACACTGGTTAATCTTACGGCTTACATATGTCTCATGTATGTCGAGATCATCTTTTTTTAAACCGACGTTAGTAAAAACTGATTCTCAGGTTAGTTTCATTTTTCCACTGGACATTTTGACCTGATACCAAAGTATCTTTGAACACTACAAACAAGACTAATTTATTTCAGCAGTAACTTTAGCTACGCTCTGTATCCTCACCAATCCTGTGTCATTATCCATGTTTCTGTGTGTACGTATGAGGGAAAGTTCAACGTTGAAAACTGAATTAAGTCAGAAATGTTGTGTGCTGACATCATCGTGGGGCGTTGCACAGGTACATTTAGAAATATACGAGTTATCCAACAGTCGGTGGATATTTTGGCATTGCATAACCAGAATTACAGCTTATTGATTACTAAGCAGAGAAATCACTTTATTTATATTATTGCAACATGTGAATAGATAATACATTTGATCAAATGTGTCATTGAACTTTGGCAGATCTACATTAAGCTAAAAGTATAAGATAAGAAGACTGAAGTGTCGGGGCTGAAACCTTTGCTGCATGAGGAACTTATCCTTGTTCTTCTTCACGCTAACAGCTGCTGCCAGAGGCTTCAGGCTGTGATGTTTACTGTACACCAATCAAGAAGGATAAGCGTGACCCCTCTTATGCTTTCCTGCCTTTAGAAAGCATCTACATGAGTCTTACGTGACCACTTGTGGTTCGATCTAACTTTCCTCTCTGTGTATATAGAAATAAGTGTTTTCATTTTACATGCACCTTTATGCTGCGTCTAACCTGAAGCTGGAATAACTCAGGTGGCTGCTTTCAGTTTTTTTGTTGTATTGACTGTAGAGGTGGAAGAAAAGCCCACTCTGTGTGTGTTTTGCTGCAGCTGTGAGATGTTCATTCTGATGGCTTTTGTCGTCATGGACCCTGTGACTGTTTTAGGGAGATGAATATTGACCACTGGGCATCTCGCGGTTCAGAAAGCCATAGAATACACTCTAATGGAGAGATAAGAGAAATACAAGGAAGCTACACAAGACACATGTTTTCTGCTTTGATGGTTTGAAATGTTTGGAAATGCCAAAATTCTTCTTTCCCCTTCCCCACATCTGTGTCTGTCTCAGAGCCTACAGACATTCTTGGACTTGAAGCTTGGTTTGTCCTCTACGGCAGTGTTTCCCAGCCTTTTGGAGCCACGGCAAATATTTCATGTCAGAAAAATTGCACTAAACAAAAATGTCACAAAAAGCATATTAATAATTTCCCCCCGCGCGGCAGGTATAGCTGACTTGGCTCAGGTTGTGCCCAGTATAGCTTCTTTGCTTTCTTCTGACCACTACTCCTGCCAGGGCCTTCATCTGGGTCGGAGTTTTCTGCAGGACCAAGTCAGCCTGACTGCTTTTTCTTTTCAAATAATTATCTGTTACGCGCTGCTATGGGCTCAAAATGTGGTCATAAATATTTTGTATGTGTAAAAAAGATTTGTGTGTGCGAAAAAAGATTTGTGTGTGCGTAAAAAAGATTTGTGTGTGTAAAAAAGATTTGTGTGTGTAAAAAAGATTTGTATGTGTAAAAAAGATTTGTGTGCCTAAAAAAGATTTGTGTGTGCCTAAAAAAGATTTGTGTGTGCCTAAAAAAGATTTGTGTGTGCCTAAAAAAGATTTGTATGTGTAAAAAAGATTTGTGTGTGCGTAAAAAAGATTTGTGTGTGCGTAAAAAAGATTTGTGTGTGCGTAAAAAAGATTTGTGTGTGGACTTAGAAAAAAAAACCCCTGCAAGTTACAAGTACGGATTTTGACCCTATTTTTCTTCCTTTCATCTGATTGGTCAATGTCATGTCAATCACAAATGTAACAATCCAATCAGAGAACAGATGGGTTTGGCTGTCGGAGGGGCTTTTTTGAACTGCAGGTCCTTGAAGGGTGATACAGTTTGAAGCTGGAGGATCTCTATATAAATATCCGATAGCAGCTAGGTCCCCTAACTTTCAGCAGCTGTTGAAAGGATAAAGTTGTGGTATATCAGTGGTTAGAAATACCATTATTACTTTAGGATTAGTTTAACACAAAGTCAGGGCTGACCCGGGACCATTGCTGTGAGTCACAGTGCGCAGCATAAAAGTCCTTTCACATCGGACGCAGGATGTGCTGCTAATGCTAACTGCTAACTAAAAGCAAAGGATCCAGAATTTGTTACGCTGGCTGCTGGGCTCTGTGGGTTTTTGCAGCAGCTCTACCTGTACTAGATGCACCTGCTCCTTGTCTTTTCTATCTCTGACTTTATGTCCTCTACAAGAGTTTTTTTTTTTTGCTGGTTCTTCAAATGTTCAATAAAAACATGTATGCTAATTCATAACGAAGAAAGCTTTGTAATGAAGACTGTCATTTCCAAAACACTGCCCGCCCCCACCCCGCGGTCCGCAGCGCTGTTGAAAAGGCTGTGTGGAAGTCCCTGTATTAAACACGTAGACCTGTGACACAAAAATCACCAAACTCGGACGACCACAGACTGTTTTCCTTCGTGGTGATGAAGGAAAACGCTGGGTTGGCATGTAAAAGGGCATTTATTCCCTTCAAAGACCTGCAGTTCAAAAAAAGCGCCCCTCGACAGCAGTTGACAACCCATTTATTAGACCAGGTAGTTGTCCTGCCCTCTAGTGGATGAGAATGTAATTGTTCTGCCCGTTACTCACGCCGATCACTTAGAGCAGGGGTGTCCAACTCCAGGTCTCGAGGGCCGGTGTCCTGCAGGTTTTAGATCTCACCCTGGGTCATCACATCTGAATCAAATGATTAGTTCATTATCAGGTCTGTGAAGAACCTCAAGACATGTTGATGAGGTCATTTAGCCATTTAAATAGGCTGTGTTGGATCAAGGATCTAAAACCTGCAGGAAACCAGCTTAGAGTACTAATCAGGTAGAACCAGAGGCTGTATCCCAATTCAGGGTCTGCAGCCTTAAAGGCCGCATTTTAAGGCCGATCACGTCACAGCGACGCGACGAAGGCTGTCCCAATTCAAAGGCTGCACGAAATGCGGCCCTCAAATGCGTCCTTCGTTTCCCCGGATTTGAAGGATGGGTCCGTGTATCCTCCATGGCCCAACATATCCCACCCAGACTTCATAGCACGGCGGTGGGTGTGGATAATTTTGCCGGAAAAAAACGGCGGACGGCTGAAGCGGGGCGGAAGAAGAGTAAACTTTCAAAAGTAAGTACTGAATATGATGTCACTTATTTATGTGCAAATGTTTAATAACGAAGAACATTAAACATGACTGTTGGCCACATGTCGGCAAAGTTATGTGACATTAGCGATGTTTGTACTAACTTGGTTTTAAAGCCTTTACTTTAAAATATACGCCGTTCAATAGTCGACCTTAATCTTACAGAGAATGTGATGATTTTATGGATAATTAAAGTCAGTCATATATCCACAAACACAACAAGCTGAAAGTCAGTGATGCTGCTCGGTTTGCAGTCCTGAATATC